AGTAAATTAATGTTTACTTTTTAAAGAAACTTGGATACTGAGTGGAGAGGTTGATATAATTTCTGTGCAGAGCTAAGAGGAACAAGGACAATTCAGAGATCACAAACCCACAATTTCCCTTGAAAACTAAGTATTTCATAATACTGTAGTCTTTATATTAGAATTTTGCTCATTGTTTCAGTTCTTGGGTATTAGCAGCACAGATAACATCTAAAGCACAAAATTCTACCTCTCTATTCTCACAACATGTCTTTGGTGACGTGCTAGTCATTAGTCCCCTCAGTAAATGCAATTTTGCCTGACTGATTTTTAGCTCACAGCACAGTATATTTAAAATGCATCTCTATCATCCATTGGCAATTCAGTACTTCCCTTCCTTTTGTACTCTGTTAATCACCTATTTCTTTTCCTTTCACTCACATCCACACACCCAGAGCCTTTCATAGACCTCATCTGCCTTCCCTTCCCCCATCTTTCTGCCTTCTTCAAAGCAATCTTTGCAAACAAGAGTATCCTTCAACCTCTATCTTCTCTCAAATCAGCATGTAAGTATAAATCTTCCTTAATGGTCACAGCCTTTTCCTTTGTTCATTATTTATGCACATTTACCTAGCAGTTAACAACACCAAAGTTTAGCTAACCAAATAATTACAATGGGTTTTTTTACGTTAAGCACAGGTTCATGCAGCACTTAATTTACTTATCTATTTTTTATAAATTTAAAACAGTGGCCCATTAAGTTACCTTACCCTAAGAAAAGCAAGCTAGAACTCTGTATTCTCACAGAATGTCTCTCTGGAAGAAGTGATTCTCACTTCTTAGTGGAAGAACTAAATACTATTGTCTTCCTGTAAAGTATCTCCTACCTCGCTAGGAGAGAACATATACAGGTGCCTCCACTGCACTTTTCAAGTAAGCAGCACTACAGTATCAATAAAAACTGTCAACCCAACAGTATTGCCTATAAAGAGCCATGAAATCCACTCTTAATCTAGTTTTGCACTATTTAATTCCCTGGAATTTGTTTCCAATGGTTGTTCAGTCAGCATTCATGTAACAAAGCTGTCTCTGTATATTTTTGATCTAGTCAGGCCACTGTCTTAGTGCTAAAACAGAAAATAACATTACTAGAGCCCGTTGGGAATGCAATTCAACTCTTCGAGTGTCCGCTCTGCTCCATTTCTTTGGGGCAAAGCCAAATGAGTTAACTTAGCTTAAAAACTTTACAAAAATCGGTGATTAGTGGCAAAAAATAGCCAAAGACATAGGGTTTTGAGGTAAACTGATTGTGTCTGCAACTTGGAGCTGACGAACAAAGACCACTCACGACCACTTTAGTTTGACTAAAGGAGAGATGTCCCAGTAGCAAGGAGCACTCCTAGAAATGAAAAGCAGTGTGAGAAGCTGTTGCCTGCCACTTCTCAATGCGTTTGTTGATGCCTCACCCACTGCCCTCCCAATCCTCCCATTCAATTCTTAGTGCACGTGGAGTCACGGGAAAAACAGGTCACGTGGTCCTCAGGGTTCCAAGCTAAGGGTTACGAAGTTTTCTCAAGTGACATGAAGGAGTGAGCGTGAAGCTGGGCTTTGGTTTGAGTCAAATGGCCAGAACTGAATTTCTGTTATTCCTTATTGTCATGGTTTAATCCCAGCCAGCAACCAAGTACCACACAGCCGCTCGCTCGTTCCCCCGCTAATGGGACCGGGGAGAGAATCAGAAGGGTAAAAGCTGGAAAACTCATAAGGTGAGATAAAGAGGATTTAATAGGAAAATCAAAAGCCATGCAAAGCAAAACAAGGAATTAATTCACTACTTCCCATGGGCAGGAAGTGTTCCTGAGTCTCAAGGGCAGAAAAAAAAAACCTGAATAAACTGAGCTTTTCCTCTTTTTGTGCTGGAAATCTATCTTCAAAAGGTCTAGTTGAATCAAGTCTTTCTCTTACTAATAAACTACCAATTATCTAGCTGCAGGAAGCAGATGTCAAGATTCAAAGATTCCTTGACTTTTGTTACTGTCCTTCCGCAGTAATTTTTTTCAAACATTGAGGAAGGCAATGTGCGCTGTGATTTAGAATAATTTATAAATTTTTGAGTTTCTGGAACGGAAGTATGTATCACATCTGATGTGGAGGGAAAAGTCTCCTTGTAATAACGTGGAAATCTGAGAAATCCTTTTGCAGCATTTGAATTACATCTCTTGAAAATTTTATCAGGTCCTTGTTTTCCTGTCGCCTATTGGGTAACAGGAGAGCAATGACATACATGACATGCTGCAACCTTGTTGTCACCCCCCTCTGGTGAGAGGGTAGATTTGTCCCTTAATTAGTCATTTGTGCTGTGTCAGAGTATGAGCCTCCTGGGCTTGCCAGCAACAATACATTCCTCAATCTGATTGCCTGGAAAGTGCATGCATTCTGCACTGTCTTCATTAGTTCATTTTGTGCATTCTTCATGATCAGTACAGAGCATCCTTCCAGCTCTTTTGCAGCTCTTGCTTCCTCATCTATCAATGTTCCATTCACACCTCAATGATACCGACATTCTTGTCACAAGGCTCTAGAAGAGGCTAAGAAGATCCTTGGACGTAAAGAAGACCTGGGAAGAAGCTGACAAGAGGTTTTTGCTGAAGTGAGCTGTGTTAGCTAAAAAACTCACCAAATTTACACAAAGTAAAATGGCATATAAGTTTGGTAAGGAGGACTCTGGACAAATTTAGGCCATTTGCTTAATGTATGAAATCATATCTCTGACGTATTATTTCTAATATTTAAACTTTTGAATTACCATACACAAACTGTCTCTGCCCTAGAAAGGAAAGGTAAACAGTATAGGTTGGTTCATGGGCTGAAAGAGTGACTGACAAACAGAGCAGGGGAGAAGAAGGTGAAGGGGAGAGGAGGAGATTATATCACAGAATCACAGAATATTCTGAGTTGAAAGGGACCCACAAGGGTCATAAGTACCAGTGGGGATTGCCCTTGAGACCCCGGTGTTATTAACACAGTGCTCTAATCAACTTAGCTAAGGAGAGAAAAAAGAGAGGGAAAGGGAGAGGAAAAAGAAGCTATAGACTGGTAGCAAAGGAGAATGGCTGGAGATTTAGCAGAACTGGACACAAGGCCAATAGACTAGGTGGAGACTGGATGAACAGAATATCAGATAGCTGGTCTGAAGAAGCAAAGATCTAAGTCTGTTCCATTCTGATGGGAAAAGCACAAGCAAAGTCTGGAAGACTTGAAGAGCAGAAATTGTGAGGCATTGTTGGATGTAGTAAAGGAGGATTCCAGAAAGAACGGACTGAGGAGTTGATTTAACTGTTCAGGCTTTACTGCTCTGTTCGGGGTTCTACAAACCCTTGTGCTAGACAATCTCAAGGAGGAGGTTAGCATATCCTTCCAGACAGAATGGGATTCTCTCCCCACAATCCACAAAATTCAAAATTCAAGACGAGTCTGGAAGAAGCATGCTCTGGTATATGAATTTATTCTTTGTCCAAAGAAGGAAGACATCCCTCATTGACTCCTAAGTGCACAAATGACACAGAGGGCTGGCTTGACAGTGGAAACAAAGTCTACACTGTCAGCTTTCAGACCTCACAGTTAAGACATACTATCTTGTGGACCAAAAAGATTTGAATATCAAGTGCCAATTGGATTAATAAGTAGTACATCCTTGCAGATATTTCAGTAACACCCTGGAGCACAAAATAACAATCTAAACTGCTACCTCAGTATGTGAGACATACCATAGGATGGGATGTGGACCGTGACAAGAGGCTAGATTGTTCTAATGAGATACTGACAAAAAGCAGACAGCAGAGTTCATGCTGGAAACTACCAGTACTTACAGTCTTACAACTTTAGAAAATTCCTAACTATTCAAAAGTGCACTCATATCCAGTAAAAAACTAAAATAAAATAATAATAAAAAAATTTACTACGGGCTACAGTTTTAAACTAAGTAAGTATCTTCTGATTTTATTTTATTTTTTTATTTTTTTTTTTTTTTTTGTGATGCACTGGAGTCATGAATTCAAATTCCTTGTGATCAACATAAGGGCAGAAAATGTGTCACTCGTAATATAACCTCAGTTTATCGGGGTCCAGACTCAGCTGCAATGAACCACTTCAGCACCACTTTACGTGTCTCACCGAGGGCAAGGCAGGGGGTACCCCGGGATGGCAGGGGGGTTGAGGTACCGGCGCTCACAGGCTCAGCAGCAGCAGCAGGACCAGCACCCAGGTGTGCCTACTTCTTGCCAGCGGCACAGAGAATCCCTTCAGCGCAAAGAATCAACTGGCAGAGCCCACGGACCCGCGGCCTTGGCCCAGCCCTCCTTTCCCTGGCGGGGGAAAGCAGAACCGCTGCCGAAGGCACGTTGCGGCCCCGGGCTCGGTGCAGCCCCGGCCTCCTCAGCCCCAGCCTCGGGCGGAGGAGCGGTGTGAGCGCGGCGGGGCCGAGCCCCGGGCACCGGCGCGGTCACCGGTCCCGGGGCGGAACGGGACCCACCTGCCCCCCACCCCGGCACCTCCCACCGCCCTCCCCGGCCCGCGCCCCGCGCCCGCTCCGTCCCGGGGCGAGGCTTCCTGCGCTCCCGGGAGCCACCCCCGGCTGCGGCCGCCGGGCGGGGTGAGGGGAGATCGCGCCTTATGCAACCGGCTCAGGGAGCGGCCGCCGCCGCCCCGCCGGCAGCAGCAAGCTCGGCGCTGTCCGTGAGTGCCGGGGCGGAGGGGGAGAGGGCTCCGGCCGCGCAGTGCCCGGGCAGCGCAGGAGCTCCCGCCCCGCCTGCCCGCGCCGCTCCCCGGGCCGTGCCAGGTGCCGGCGGCTGAGGCGGCGGGCGGCTCCGGGCGGCGGCTCCGCCGGGGCTGAGGGAGGGCGGTGGTCTCCGTCGGAACTCGGCTCCCCCTGCCCCGAGCGGGTGTTGGCGCGGCTGGGGGAGGAGAGGGCGGGAAGAGCCTCAGCCCGTGCCGGCCCTCGCCTCGCGCCCCGGCCGGCCGTGTGCCCGGCGGCCCGGCTGCGGGGAGATGCGTGCCTGGGACGACCTTTACCCGCTCCCAGTGCCGCCCTCCTGGGTGCCGGGGGCTGCCGTCGGGATTCTCTCCTTGCACTTCATCCAGAAGCTCCTCTTCCCGTACTTCTGGGCCGACCTGAGGTACCTGCTCAAAGTGGTGACCTATGGGCTGAGGGTGGAGGTGTACCGGCTGCAAGGGAGGGTTGTCACCGTCCTGGACAAGTTTGTGAAGCTGGCAGAGAAGCAGCCCCACAAGCCGTTCCTCATCTACGAAGGGACAGTTCACTCCTACCAGGATGTGGACCGGAGGAGTAACAGGATAGCACAGGTCTTCCTGCAGCACGAGGCTCTGAAGAAGGGAGACACCGTGGCCTTGCTGATGGGCAACGAGCCGGACTTCATCCACGTGTGGTTCGGACTGGCCAAGCTGGGCTGTGTGGTGGCATTCCTCAACTTCAATGTCCGCCTCAGATCTCTCCTGCACTGTGTCAGTAGCTGTGAGCCCAAGATACTGGTTGTGGGAGCAGGTAGGGTGTATGCCTCATTCCTACATCCAAAGCTTTTAATGCCACGTCTCCTATGTATCTGTCTCTCCAGCTCCTTTATTGAAAACCTGATTTTCAGATGTTCACAGAATGAAAGAAACCCAGGGCTGGAAGAAGCTTCAAGAAATTTTGAAGTTTCAGCCTCTCAGGCAGAATCAAGCATATCCATGCCTTGGGGACACCCATTTAACCTTTTCTTAAAAAATGTGCATTACAGGAGAGTTTTCAACATCTAAGTACAGCCTGTTCCAAGTGCTTAATTGCTTAATTGTAGTTGCTTAGTATGTCTCTAGAAATATTAAAATTAGCTATTAGGAATAATTTTTCATTCCTCCTCAAACAGTCAGATTTAATCCTAGTTAAGTCCTGGACTTTATTCTCTTATACCATCTCTCCTGTCTTCCTGCTGATCAAAACCACTGCAAAACTAGAAGGTCTAAGCTCAGATTGTACAACCTCTGCTGTTCAACTGTTTGCAGAGGTATGATAGTTTTCCAGGAACTAAAGTTTTAATAGTACAGCACATAGAAGGTTGATTCATAATAACCAACTTACTGCTGGTGTTGGATTGTAGAAGAAATTGCTGTGTTTGAATAGGGATAGAAGTGTGTGTTGTGTAAGTTTCCAGAGTATTACATTTTTATTAAATGCTTCAAAAGAATTTCAGATCTCAGTGTAGGCATACTGGGCATTATATGCTCAAATTTGGCTTCAGTTATAGAAATGTATGAACTTAAGACAGATCCAAAACATAAACTTACCACAGCATTTATGATCAAGTACAAGTGAGCCTGCAATGCTGAAAGATCACATAGAGCCTTGACATGTGGTTGGAGGAAAATATTTCCAAATATTTCATATTAATATTTTCCTGCCTCTCCAAAATTATTGTTTCAAGTCCACTTTGCCTTATTCTGTTTTTCAACTTCTTGCCTTACTCCTGTTACATGGGTCATGGGATTTTGCATCCATGACAGCCAAATGGTGGAATTTCCTTCCATCTGTTCTCTTCTGCTACAAATACAAGCTTTCAAAAATTTATTTAAGATTTTTCCCTTTCCTATTTTTAATTATAAATCTTATTATTCTGAATCTATATGGTAGGCTGGTTTAAGATGCTTGGTAATTAAAACAAGCTCTTGAAACAAAAATGAATTTAAATATAATCCCAACACATGATAACAAGGCTTCTGAAATGAAAGGTTTTTATTTTGCCCTCTTACTTAATTAAAAAAAATCAAACTTGTTTAGCCACCTCTCATGAATATGTGTTTTTGAGTTTATGGATTGAGGACTGGAATTAATGTTCAGGAACTTCTTGCTCATTGACTGTAGTGAAGGAAAAACTTTTGATCAAAGCTTATATCTAAGAGAAGTTTTTTATGTAAATGAGAGGTTACCTGAAGAATGAAAGCACCATTTGCAAAGCAGGATCAGGACCTGTGTTTCTTCACTCTTAATTTGCTACCAGCAGCTGATAGTAAGAGCAACTGCGTCGAACGAGGTTGTTCTGGGAGTCTTCCTTTGCTCACAAAAAGAAAAGCTGTATGCAGACAGATAATAAAGCAGAGACACCAACAAATTCTTCTTCTTCAGGACTTTGACACTCTTTTATTTGTATCCGTGAAAGAAGTTAAAGTTGCTGGGTCCTTGTTTATTGTCCACATCATATGGAAACCTCTCCAGAGAAGCCCAGGTTTAGCAACTTAAGGTTTGTACACTGTCCAGTGACTTTGAGGACGAACTCACATCACTCTTGTAAGAAACATATCGTACCTAATTATTATAGATAATAATTTCCCACTAATGTTTATAAAAAATTGCAGAGCGGCATTGAACATTGAGGTTACACAATCAGTTATGTAATTCTCGGAGGTCTATTCATGTGTCCACTGTTAGTGTGTGTTTCAAGGGATTCTTCCTTATCAAAAGGCATGACTTACTTGTGCATTTTGCCCTTGTGGCCCCATTTTCACAGGAATGTGGGTAGCTTGAACAAAATATTTACACTAAAACCAATCAACCTGTGGTCTAATATCTATCACTGCCATAGTCAGGCATCAATTTTGTCAACTGAGATTGTTTTTTAAATCAGGCATTTTTATGTAATGGCAGTATTTCTGCATAGTGAAGTTCTAAATTTCAAAAATATGTAGGGTTTTCACCCTCCACAAACAGATACAGACCTCACTTGGAATAGTTACAAAACTATATTTTCAATATTATGGATGACTTTTGATCTTATGTATAGACTGCAGCACAGCAGAAATCATCCTCTTAACAATTTGACTGCTAACTGCTCAGTGAGATCAAATTTGCTCTAGAAATTCTTGTCTGTACTGGCACATTCAAATCTACTTAATATTCAGGTTCCATTTGTGCTGTGGGGAACCTTCCACCTTTGCCTGCTATCTGAAACAGTTCCCACAGACAACTGTTCTTTGCTAAATCTTCCCTGCTCAGAATGGTGATGTACCCTCCCTTGGTATGAGATGATTGCACCTTGCAGCTTTCTTTAGTACCTCTTGTAATTTTCAAAAATGCTTTTATTTTTTTACAAATGTGATATTCCTGTACAAATAGGCTGGATACTATTCATGGTGGCATTTTCTTCTGTTGCCCTGGCCTGTTTTTCATAGTTGCCTCTTGCAAGGTCATTCTCTTTAACCAAATTTGTGCTCTTCACTATTGCTATGTGCCTGCATATTTTTCAGGCATTTCAGTCTGGTAACCCCATCCAGTTAGTATCATCTTGTCTTTGCTTCAGCACTTGGAATCAGACTTTCTTCTGGTCTGACAATTTTCTGACATTTTGATTGCTGTTTCAATCTTTAGATGTGAGTGTTCCAGTAGTATTTGAGTTTTGTGGGTTTGATTTTGATTTAATGTGTTCTGTGAACCCTGCAATTGAATGCTTTATTCTTAAGACTGAGACATATTATAAAAACTTCAAAATTTCCCTGTCTTGTTGTTTCTTATATGAAATGGCTATCTCTAAAAGGCTGATTTTTTTCTATGACAGCAATATTCTTTTAATTAATTTAGCACAGTCTAGTAAACTTTTTTTTCCTTCTCATCCAGCCTCTGACTAAAAAGTGAATACAGATCTTGTGATTTGCCAATATTTAGTCTTTCTGTTCCTTTCCATTATTTCCATTTACCTTTGTGTCAGAGAGGTTTTTTTTCTTTAACTACTCTCCTTTGTCTGCTGTGTTCCCAGAGCATTTAGCCCTTGCTTTAATTTGTTACTAAACATTGTCAAACTCCGTTCCCAGAAACCTCTCTACCACCACTCCTATTCCGGGGAATGTTTCTTGAAAGGGATTAAGAAGTTGGACTTTAAAATGGCATTTTAAAATAAAACAGTAGTTAACTAACTTGAAAATAAATGAGGAACTTGTAAAAGAGAAAGAAACAAGCTGAATACTCCTCTCTTTACCAGCCAGCCAGCATTAGCTTACTCTAACAGGAATCTGACCTGTTCAAAAGGTATTTGTCCTCATTACGGTTGTTACCAGACCATGCCACTCTTAATTTTTTAAAAACTGCTGCTTAAACAGAGGAGTAAGGGGCTGCTTAAAAAGAAGACACCTTTTGAGGCACTGGGTCCTTTCTGGGGACTATTTCTATTGATTGAAGTCTTGCTTGAAGAAGGAATTACATTGTGTCTTTTGTATCGTTGTCTTTACTGCAGAGTGACAGAAATGCTATTAAACAACACTTACAATCTAGTGACCCGTCAGAAATGCACAAGTGGAATTTATTTGCTAGCACTTTTCTAGCGTGTTCCTACCTGGAAGAGTTCAGCCTGGAGTAGGACACCCCACATCACCATCACGACTTCCTGTGCAAGGATTCAACTGTTAAAGGGTTGCATTCTAAACTCCATGAGATTGATTTGTATCAGTCTTGATAACAAAGGCTGTTCAGGGAGTGTACATGGCCACGGACACGTGTGGGCAGCGTGCTCTACGTGGGTCTGCTTGGGGGGGGGGACTGGACCAAGACGACCTCCAGAGGTACCTTCTATCCACAGCCATCCTGTGATTTTTGCAGTTCTGTACAGAAGCACATCTCCCAGCTGTACAGCATTTTCCTGGGCAGGATTCCTTACTCTTGAGGCACTAGCAATGCTTTCTGCTGCTGCTGAACTAGGCAAAAGCACGTCTACATCCTCAAGAAAGAGACTAAACAAAATATTTTTTTGGTATTTGTAAGTTAAGGTCATATGGTGTTACATACAAGTAGAAGTATCACCTCTCATGTTAGTCACTGAGTGAAAAAAAGAATGGATTTCATCAAAGCCACCTTTTCTTATCTATATGAAATAAGAAACTATTAGGACCTAAACATTTAGGACAAGGGAACTACAGAAGGCCTGTGGGAGACATGCTTACCCCCCTCTGTTAGACATCATATCTCTCTGATTACTTGTTCTTGGTTTATGTCTTGTCCCAGATGGTCTTTGAGTGGAAAAACTGGGCCAACTGTGATTCACAAGGTGTTTTGTGTTTTATTACCTTTACTGCTTTCGGTGGCATTTCGAGATACCAACACTGATCCTGAGCCACAGCTGACTTTTCTGTTATTATGACTTTGTGAGAAGCTGTGCCGAGTGTAACAAGTCACTTGGGGGATCAAGTACAAGTAAAAATTATTTTCCGAGGCCAGACAGTGTGGGGAAGAGTTTGGACTTGCCACAGCTTCCTGAGCACATCAGCCAGGGCACACATCAAAGTTTTGTAAGAACCATTTCATACAGCTTTCTTTCTGAGTAACTTTCTGTTCAGTACAAGTTGATCTCATAATCTGATGTATTCCTTTCATCAGTGTGGGACTGTGTCCTTGCCAAAAGCCTGCATTGTTTCTCTGCTAGAAAATAACATAAAAAACCTTTGTGCAACTTGAAGCCTAGGTTGCTAGTTGAAAGCGTATTTTCCTTGCTTTCTCAAAAGATGTAACTGAGTTATGTATTCATGTGAGTAAATTGTTACAGTTTTTCAAACTTTTGTTGAATAATGAACTGCTTTAAAAGCAAGAGGAAAAGAAAAGCAAAAAAAGTGGAGAAGCATTCAAGATCAATTCCAGATATTTTTGTCCCAGAGGAGCCAAATAATTAGCAAAGGGTGAATATTTGTATACAAACTATGTAACTAACACAGAGAGAACTTTACATGCTTCATATAAGCAGCCATTTCTTCCAAATCAAGTAACCCAAAACCTGAATATACTTTCATAGTATAAAAAGTAAACAAGTACTGGAGAGAAACCACAAGTTTAAATAGCTGGATTGCTTTACTGCAATTACTTTCCTATATGGCAAAGTGCACACACCAGGTACTTCTAGAAATAATTGAATTATAGTTCTTCCAAGAGGGCTGTTTCTTCCTGACAGGTGAACAGGACGATATGCAAAGACTAGAGAGATCTTCACAATGTCTGGCACAGAAGCTTTTTTGTGGAACGAAACACTCATGGAACAAAATGTTAGTTGACTATCATTAGAATTATTGTTTGGAAATATGTTAGCACAACTGAGAGTTATCTTCAGACACCCCGTTTCCTCTGTGTTCCAGAAGTAACTTTCAGCTTCTGGCACTTTGAATATAGCTGTTTTAAATTGCCTTTTTTATTCAGGATATAATTTATTGTTTCTGCTGTTCTCTGCTATCTACCAAGAAATTTACTTCAAGGCAACATTCAGTTACAAGCTGTTCACATATTGTTCCACATACTAGATTCCTAAGCACAGAAGAAAAATTCTGCTGTGTAATCATTTAATTGTTCAACAGTAGTAAAAAAACACAAAAACCTTAGGTTCTAGGAGTGAATGTTTAGAGAAAAAATAAACAGTGTGCATGTTTAATTTGAAGATTGATCTTAACTATCTTGGGTAAATATGTTTCAGTCTACTAAAAGAGAGCTGTGTCCTCATGTCATTCTTGAATCTTAAATGATCATGTCTGCAATTAATAGTTGCCATCTTTCTCCCTTTGAACCAAGAAAAGGAGGAAAAAGAAAAAGAAGAGGTAGGTCCTCTTCTTTTTGACAGACTTGCACTTCATGTTACTCAAATATAAAAAGAACTTGGTGCACATGTTATCTAGAACTTATTAGTACTAAAACATTAGAAAAGTTTTTGATTTCATGTCATGCAGCAGTAAAAAAAAATATTTTCTGTAGACAAGTTAGGAGTTGGTAGGTGATACATCTTTATCTTCACTTTCAAAAATGCTAAAAGCAAAACAATTAAGGAATTGAAAGAAGGAATGAATTTAGCCATCAAAAATAAGGAAATGCTGCAATGATCCCTTTGGTTTCTGTGGTACTTAAACAGGATGGTATTCACTGATGTTTGATTTTTTTGGCTGTGTCTTTTGTGATTAAATGACAGGTGAAATTTCATTTACAAGTCCACTTTAGTTACATGGAATAATTCTTCATGATGAGTTTTACTGGGCAGTTTTTCCTCAATATTTGTACATCACTTCTGTTACCTGGTAAGGACACTACACAGGATAAACAGCCAAGTCTAGTTCAAATAATTACAGAAAGCTGGAAGAGCCGAGAAGTTCTTAGCAGTCCTGAGCACCTTTGCTGGTATTGTAGCTGGAGCCAGTGCACTAATGAAGAATGACAGAGAATGCTGTATTCTTTTACTGTTTTTGAGAACAGAAACGGAGAGTTCAGCCACTTCTAACACTTGTGTTTCTTTTGCTAGGTTCTCAGCCTAACTTGCACCTACATAAAGTATCCTTAATATATTTAAGAGACACATTAGAGGGTCATAAGTATATAGTTATTCTGTCACACTTAGTTTATGAATAGCTGTTTAGAAATAGTACTGTTGTATTTTCGTATTTATTGGTTGAACAATATACTGTAATTCTATTATAAGACAACAAGACAGAATTAATATGCCAATGAACTTTGACATTCAGTACATCAGGTTTCCTGCAGTTAATACTATTGTCTTTAACATTATTTTTTATTCACATTTTTTCATTTCATTGCCGTGTATAATAGAAGGGAACTGTGCTCCAATGATTCAAACTGGAGATCATCTGTATTTTAGACTTTTAAAATTATTTGTGTGATTCCTTCTTGAAACCATTCTGCAGTACAAGGAAGTTAGAACATAAAAATTTTAATGTTGCACTGTGTCAGATCTATTTGTTCAACATTCATAGAATGTTTAGAATGTTTAAAACCTGTCCTCTGTAGGCTTTAGGTTTGTAAGACATGTTTAGTTAATGATAGTAGGCTGTACCTCTGTAATAGAAATACAGATTATTATGTTATTAATTAAAATATATACAGCAGTCTGCCATTAGGAAAGTAGTTCTCTGAAAGTTTAAAAATCTTCAGTTATTCTGCTGTAAAATAGATGCATTCCATTCTTGGTATCCATATTTAATATTAGTGAAATGAACTTGGAGTTGACATCAGGCTTTCAAATGCTGGCTCTGGCAAAGCCACATTGTGAGACCTGTCAGCTTTATTTGTTTATTCATCTATAAAAACTGAGATAATAACACAAATTTGTACCCACAGGAATATTTGCAAGATTAATTGGATTGACTGAGATGTATCAAGGCAGTTAAGTGTAAATGAATTCTACTGAGAGCAGTGTTACTCCTACTCTTGCCATGTTTCCCAGATTAGTACTTTAAAGACTGTGCAGTCTTCTGAGAAAGTGACATTATAAAAATGCTTCAAAATATAAATAGTGGATGTATTAAGGATTTGTCTTTCTATATATTTCCCCTTTTTTTTAGATCTGGGAATCTCTCTCATTTTTTTCCTGGTAAGGCAACAAAATAAATCTTAGTTAGACTGCTGGTTTTATTTTATAAAGATAAGTGTGTATTTATATATAGATAAAGGCCAGTAGAAGGAGTGGCTTTCAGTAAATTAACATGATCTTTTAAGAAAATAACATCGTCTGATGTGCCCAAAATCAAATTCATTAAGGTTTTTAAAACATTCAAAGTGCTACATAAATAGCCACATGGCTCTTTAGCACTGAATTAGCACTCTTTAGCACTCTATTATTCTGAATAAGCCACGGGCCTGTATCATATTTCTATTCTGTGAAATTCAGGCATGATATAGTAAATTATGTTCGTAAACTAAATTGTAAATTAGTTTCTGTGTGTGTGTGTCATTTGTTTTCAAATTAGTCACTTCTGTCTGCACTTTTGAAAAAAAATAATGGGAGATTGCTGTTGACGGCATCCAAGGAAACCTGCACTGTAATTACCAGTTTGAATATAATTGCCTTGCATCTTTAATGGATTTCTTCATGGTTTATTTGAAGTTGAAGCTCAACCACACTTCATTCTGGTCTTAGCAATGACTAAGGGTTATCTGATATCATGTGGGAAGCAGGAGTTAGTAATCAAGGCTCACAATTTTGCCTTGAGGGCTAGTTGACAATTAGACTATGTGGGGTCAGCAGTATTTTTAGCACATTATACCCTTTTTTCACTGCATTCTCATTCTAGTTCATAATTATTTTATTGCATCTATTTATATCCATGGAGGCTACTTTAATTTCTCTTTCCACTATCAAAACTCTAAGGAAAAATACTTTTTTTCTCTAGTTTTGTGAAGAAATAATGTAAGTAACATTATTTCATGGTAATTTTTAAGATTTGCTTGGGACACTGGAGGAAATTCTTCCTAACCTTCAAAAAGATGTCAGCGTCTGGATAATGACCAAAGACTCCACTCTTCCAAGTGTGCACACCCTTTTAGACAAAATAGAAGCTGCATCTGAAGACCCTGTTCCAGTTAATCGATGCTCTGCCAGCAGCCTCAAATCAGCTGTTTTATATATATTTACTTCGGGAACAACAGGTACATGTCTGCTGAAAAGGTCTATGTTTTCCTTCAGCTTTCACCCAGGAACTTGATTTTTTTTGAAAGTGTATCTTTTAACAGCAGAATGTCATATTTCTCGTCTAGAAGCTTTATTACAGAAAACAAGAGTGTTTCTTGTCAGTAACTCTATTCAGTGGTGTATGGGTTTCTCTTCTTTTTTTTTTTTTTTCCTGCCACATTGTGCGAATACTATGAGAGGCTTTACCTCTCATTACTTCACAGCTAAATTGTTTGTAAAACATTGCTTTGTTCTGTGATCACGTAGCCCTGCCTAGCCAAAACACCTAAGATTTTATCTAGGATTTTAAAAAACAATCTTGAAACAAGCAAAAAGACATTTGTTTTTCCTTCGTTAAGTCATGTCTTATGCAAGTCACAGTAGAGACAGAAAATAGGATTAAGTTATAGCCTTTTAGTTTAGAAACAGATGTCTGAATTTGTAACCAGTGCTCCAGCAGCTAAGAAGCTAAGACTTAAAAACACCTGATCACTGAAAAGCAGAGCGATGTTGTTAAGCTGGGCAGATAGACTTTCCCCTTCAGTTGAACACAACAGTTTTAGCAACAAGAAGATTTTAAATGAATATGTGATTTATAGCTTGGTTCCTTCATACAAACAGTAATTCAGTTTGTTTGCTTTTTTTGGGGAAAAAATAGTAAATAGGAACACCAGTCAAAAACAATATTAGGATGTTATAAATATTGTCAAGAGGTGAGGTTATGTTTGTAATACCACTAATATAAATATGGTTGAGCTTGCTGGTCAAAAGTAAGGAGTTAAAATTAGCTAAAAAATAATACAGAATTATCCAGGTAGTATGTTTTTGTTGTTATGACTGCATTCAGAATATCTGTGTGAAGTCTCAAATTTCAGTTATGTAGGATTTAATATATTTTTGAATCCTCGTATGCATCACATTAATTTACATTGAATTTCTACTATGTACCATGTAATTAAACAGTAGCTTTGCTAGAATAGGTGAGAAAACTTTATGAACCATTAAATTTTTTTGAAAAATTGAACAGCTCTCACTGTTCATCATCAGCCTGACTCAGCCTGAAATTTGTGGATGCGAGTAGCCCAAGAAGCCCTTGCGGGAGAGTCTGCATGTTGCTGAACAAAAATGCTGGGCTGAACACGAAGAAAACTCAAAAAGAAGAACCTAACTGGAGTGGACTTTTCACTGGATTTTTTTGTTTGTTTGTTTTTAGTTCTACATAGTCTTAACAGAGTTCTAAAACAAATGGGAAGATATGGATGCACGATTTTTGGATAAGCACCCACTACTTCACGTAGATCCCATATCATTCTAATTTACCTTACAATCACTATGATTCATGCCTGAACAAGATCTGGTGTGATGCCTCTTTATGTTAAAGGAAGTCCATATGCAGAGTAAATAGTTTTGCCACTTTGTTAGCTCTATATAATTCGATAGCAGACAAACCATGGAGTTTCTTTGTGTTTCCACCTGTTTGAATTGACTTGACATCCAACTAAATAGTAAACAGATGGGGTTACAAACTGGCTTATCTTTATGTGTAGAGAACAAACATGCAATACTATATTAAACAAGCAGTTGTCTGTTCGTGGCCATCTAAACAGATGGCTGAAAATTTGGTTGCAGAACAAAGAATTGATTCTTTTATGATTTTAGAGACTTGAACACAGGAGAAAAAAACAACTGAGTTCTCTTTAAGAGAAACTTTATGCATTGTTTTGTGTTTTTATTACAGGTCTTCCAAAGGCTGCAGTCATCAGTCACATGCAGGTTCTTAAAGGAGCTGCTGGACTGTGGGCTTTTGGTGCTACTGCAGAAGACATAATTTATATTACTCTGCCTCTTTATCACAGTGCAGCATCTCTTCTTGGCATCGGGGGATGCATTGAACTGGGTACATCTTGTTTAATTTAATTGTGTTGTTAATATAAAATTAATTATTATAAAAGTGTATAAAACCACTTAGGTTCATTGCCACTAGGAAAACTGATGCTTTGCTGAAATTAAATGAATAGTCTTTTTTTTTGGAATAGCTATATATTTATTTTGGGGAGAGGGAGCATGTTATAATAACAAGGGATCTCTACAAGAAGGTCTCTTCATGGAGAAGAACTAGTTAGAGTAATTTGTGTCATGAATGCTTATACTTTCTTTTATATTTTGATAAAAATGAAGTTAAGGACATCTGCAATATTTTGACAGTGTGTACAGTACATTGGTATCTGTACAGACTAAACATTATACAGTGGAATAGAAATAAAATGTATTTTTGTGAACTTAAAAACCTGACAATTACATTTTGAGTACATATTCATCTTTTCCATATACCATTAGATGAAATATAACTCTTTTTCATTTAATTTGTGTACTGTTTTGTCATGGACAATAAAGTACGTGTTTTACTGAGACAATGTGTCCTCAATGACTCTCTTATAAGAGATTTCTTTGGAACTTCATGGCAAGTATTTCTTGTTTCCTTACGGATCAAGGACAAGTCAGAGCAAAGGAAAGATCATTGTAATATGGATTAACTCTGTCTGAATCTGCATTGCTGAATACTTTCTTTCAAAGTGAGGTTTCAGTGATATCCAAATGATTTGTTAATCAGGCGGAATTTTCTGAGTATTTTCAGTTAAACTCTTTTAAATAATGTTACAACACTGACAATGAGAAGCTCTCTTCTTGTGTTCAAGCTCTTGTCTATTTTTTTACTGTCTTAGCCAGGAGGCTGGTTTCCTTCTTTGTCTACCAGGTTTCAAATAAAACAGCTTAAGTACCACATAATTCTCTAAACAAGGCTGTTCGTAGCTCCTCCAATGTTCTGTTTTGTAGAACCAGTGAACATAACTGCCACACAGAGAAATTGCTTCATTTCCTTTTCTACTGTTTCCATAAAGGTGCAACCTGTGTGTTGAAAAAGAAGTTTTCAGCCAGTCAGTTTTGGAGTGACTGCAGAAAGTACAACGTGACTGTCATCCAGTACATTGGAGAACTTTGCCGTTACCTTTGCAATCAGCCAGTGGTAAGTGAAATCAAAGTGATGGCTATTTGTCTGTAAGTGATATGTACATTTATCGTTCTTCATGTGGGTATGTTGAAAGGGGAACAAGATTGTATTGGAAATGTCCCTCTGCCCTTCTTTTTATGTGATGTTCTTAAAAAATTTGGGGATCTGTAGGGGGCTTAATAAAAATAACGGCTTGAATCACGAAGATGTACTAAAAGAAAAGATTTTGAGATTAAAAACTGATTCAGCATCATTTGGGGAAAAAATATTATTTTACAGAGTTTCACAAGGTAAATTCAGAAAACCAGGATTACAGTCCAGTGTCTTTTCTGAATTTTCAAAACTTTGTTTCTTGGCACCTGAGTGTAACAGAGGTCTCACATTTTGCAGTTCATGTTTTAGCACTGTGGAATGCCTTGTGGAATGTGCATGTTTTGAGACTGTCTAAATCATATTTTAAAATTTGGAAGGGATTTGGTCTAGGATAGCAGCTTTTGGTTCCAATGCAAAAAAGTTTGCTTTTTGTTCCAGTGAGAAAGCTATTCTAGACAACAAATCCAGTTTTGTTACAGTGACATTTCCTCCCTGAAATACTTCTTTTCCCTTGGCAGCTAGTGGTGTGATGGTTTACTGACATGATACCAAGTACAAAGTGTGCTGAACCTGTTGCAATTACCACGTAGAGCTGACTCAGGCTAACTGAATTAACTTTTGATCTGGCTATTTTCTGGTATATTTCTGTGCCTACTGGTTGATAATAGAGAGAGCCCAAGATGTTCAGGCTAAACCAAATGCCGAAAATTTGTTGGGATTAACTCAAGATATATAGAATAATACAGATGGAATGAATATAACTTGTTGTGTAGCAAATCCAACTGACTTTCTATCCTGAATGTGTCAAAATGAATACACAAAAAATATTAATCATCCAGTATAAACTGAAATTCCTCTTGCTGGCAACTTCCATCCATTTATGAGCTGTGGGTTGTCCTGTTGTTTTTCAGTAATAAATCCCAAATGTTACCTCTTACATTATCCTACCGAGTTAAACATTTTAATGAATTACTTCACCCAATTATTATTTAAACAGATTTTATTTTGAATATTAGATAAAAATAAATAACACCCTGCAAATGCCTGTAGAACATTAAGCAAAAGGAACCGTGTCCTCTCTTAATTTAACCAAATGTTTAAGAGAACATAAAGTGATTTATGAATATGTACAGAAGTTAGATGCAATGCAGCTGTTACCTCATTGATCAGCCTCCCTTTGCCTCTACCCTAATTTCATTTTGTTATTTCAAAAAAAAAAAAAAATCAGTGGTTTATTTCCTTTTCAGTGAATTTTATTAAAGTGACTCATGTCTTAGGAAAACACGCCAGTAATTCAAATTACTTAATCTGAAAATTATTTTCTAATCCAAGTCCTCATTTTACAGTTTTTCAGAATAACATCCTCCTTAAGCAGTATTCTAAAATAAGAGAATGCAAATCAGTCTTGTTTTCCAGTAGAATAATAATTTTCATTAATATTTCAAGTTGCTGACCAAAGAATGGAAAAGGTCATTGGATTTCTTTTCCCTCTGGAAATTTTTCAGAAGAATGTTTAAGCAATGTAGGGGTGGGTCATAGACCCTACTGCACTGTACACACATGCCTCAGTGAAGTGGAAGTTCTTGAATTAAAGAGAGCATGGCTAATGTCTCAGTGACCACCACTGACTGCAGTGGAAAACCAGGATAGTAATACCTTTCATTCTCTGGGTTTTTTTAGTTGTTGTTGTGGGGTTTTTTTGTTATGCTGTGGTTATGGGTTTTTTTGTGGTGGCTTTTTATTATTATTGTTATTATTATTTAATTATTTTATTTTTGTTTGTTTTGGTTTTTGAACTTTATAGTAATATAAACAAAAAATTACAGGATAACAAAAGATCAAGTTAAAGGCCATAAGGAAAATCAAGACATATGAGAGACATGTGTTTTTGTTTTTGCACTCCTATTTATCCTGTTCAGTATCTTAAAGCAAGAATGATAGATTAATATACTTCATTTCTGAAACAAAATCTCTTGTTTTTAAATCCTTACCAAGCCATCATGAAGTTAAAGCAGTTTTAAGTTTTTTCCAATAAAGTTATTTATACCATCATTAACTATTTATATACTACATACTGTGGTTATACAGTCATTAACTCTCTATTAACTATATAACTATTCTATTTGTGATTTTATGTGCGTACTTCCTAGGAGCTGGCATGTTCAAACTCTTTCTTCTGTGAGGCTACAGGTTTGTTTTTTTTTTTTTTTGGTTTGCTAGCTTGCTAAACCTTCTCAAGAAAAATTAAAATTATAACATGAATCCGTTTAAGAGCTAGATACTTGAAGAAAAATAGTAAGTATTTGTCATGGTAAATCTGGAAGAGAAATATGTTCACACAAATAAGTAGAAGGTTGTAAAATATGTTGTGCAGTCCATTCTTAGTTTTCAAGTAGGTAAAATAATTTGCCAAGTTGGATTCTCTCTTTAAGTCTCATTAATGTAGAAGTACTGTATAGGCTAGCAGCACGAGAAAGATATGACAAGTACAAGTTCTAAAGTTCTGTGAAAATGTGGGCAGCGTTCTCATGGTTCGAGCACTATAAAGCCCTTCTAATCAACATAGATTAAACCATAGCAATTACCCTATGTTCCTTATTTGTTTTTTTAACACTAAACTTGAAATAAATAGTATATTTCTTACAGCTGGAGTCCAGACTGTGGCTTCTTATTTCGTAGATTTTGAATTAAACTTTGGGCAAGTCTGTGTGGTAGCATATAGACTCCTGGCTGAGCTTCGTTATTGGTTTTGTCTTGTTTGATCATTCTGCCTCCCACTCACATCTGTAACAGCTCTTGAACACTCTTGCAGTAGAATTTTTCTGAAGCTGCTCTGCATGCAGTTTGGTTTAGTAATCTGATGTCTGGAAAGACCATTTGTTAGAAAAGGAAGTTGTCTTTCTTCTTTAAGTACAAGTACAAAGACATTGCATTATGTGACCTTTATAGATTTTGCTGGGCTCCTAAGTGAGTAATCCTCATGCCTGCCCTCATCCAAACTCTTCTTCTGCAGTATTGTGATTATAGTGAAAGTACAAGAACCAGCATTGATGGCTAATAGCCATAAGTAGCTACAAAATGAGTTCCGCTCTAACATACTAGCATGACTACTCCAGTGAAAAAGAATATTCAGAAAATGAATAACTTGGTCTTGCTGGATGACATTGCTCAAAGTCTCTATTAAACATGATTAAAAAAATTACAGAAGTATGGCATAGCAGAGCTCCCTATATCCTCTCTCAGCAAAAGCCTTGGAAATACTTCTCTACTAATCTGCGGATATATTTTCCTCAGAGGCTTGCACCTAATTTAAAATTTAACATTTCAAGTGTAAACAAAATCTTCTAAAGGCACTTGCAGATATATTTCAAATTTTATGTCATGATCTATTTAAATAATGCATTACATCCTGAAGCTTTTGGACAGATAGAAATGGTAATTCAGCATCTCTTTCCTTCTTTTCTGGGTTAACTCTCTGTTTAAAACCGGAGTGCGCTTCTCCTTGTATACAAAGTCGATTTCACAAATAATTATATCATTGCTTAGAATTTCCCACCCAGCATTCGTCCTGCTTTATGTCCACTTGGAACTGAGCCAGTGTTATCCTTCGTCATCAGTAACATTTTCTATTTCCCTGGGGTAACCTCGAGAGTATAAGACCGCATATATCAGCTTTCAGACTAAGTTTTTATAAGCTGAAGCAAGGCAGTCTCTCTACTAGATACAGTTCGGCCAAGGGTTCTTTGGATGGGATTAAGCTCTCTGAAGTGACTTTAGAAAAGATGCTTAAGGATTTATTTTGTTAAAACTCTTCTGTGTTAGAACAATAGTAATTCCCAGGGAATTACTACGAGGAACGCAGTGCTACCGGGATAAGGAAACAGAATGAACATTTGTTTTCCTGCAGTTGACTCAAGTGTTGTGGGAAGGAGTGTAAGAATGGGGTTTATGCATGTTGGATAGCACTATCTGTCACCCAGAAACAGGCTTCTTTGAAGGAAGAATATTTGACAGTCACACAGACAAGGAAAAATTAGTTAGCCTGCGCTTCTCTACAATGGAGGTTTGACTTGAAATCACATTTTATTCCCCATTAAAGTTTAGCTCAAATTATGTTCAATACTGGAAATCGTTCTTTCTGATATTCTTAAAATGTAGAGTGGAAATTTGTCAACACCATTGCAAGTTTTCAGCATAAACATTTTATTGAATACCCCAAACCAGTAATGTTACACATTTACAGACAACCACATCTGTATCTTCCATTAATAATCTCTACATGTCATTACAATTTAATTTACTGGGGGGGATTTTGCAATTTACTTATTCGTCTAGTAAACTGTCCCTTAAAAAAATTAGCAACCATTTGCATATGTCATAAGCAGACATAATTCTTAATCCAAGTTATTACAGAATTAACAGTGCCTTAAATGAGAATTGAACACTGTTTGTACATTCTGTCAGAGAAAATGGAACTTTTAAATTAAGAGCATATTCAGCACATCCAAAATTGAAGCTTAGAAATGGACCCGAGATTTGGAAACTTGCATTTACTTCAATCCAGACTGCATCAGTTGGTCAATTGATCTTATAAAACCAACAAACTTTGTCTGTGCTTTCAGCTGCCTTAACTACAACACCAGCATTGTTTTTTAAAAGTGGCTTTAAAAAGAGATTATAAACCTGTCTAGTTTGACTACTCCCTAGTGATACTTAAATGTACTGGCATACTTCTCTTGGACTCCATCCACATGATGATCCTCTGTCTGTTTTCTCATTCTTCTCCCTAATAATGGTAAAGGTTTTCAGATGTTTTTTGTGAAAAAGTCTTCTGTAATGTTTGTAGAGTTTCTTCGGCCTTAGGAAGCATTAGTTTTTCCTATCCAAAACACCCCTGAAGGCTAGATGCAATGTCAACTACT